TACCTGGCCTTGCATGGACTGCCTAGTCCCGGACTTGCCTTGCCTTGCCTACACTTACCTTCCCTTGCCTGGCCTTGCCTTGCCTTTTCTTGCCTTGCATTGCCTTGTCTTGTCTTGCCTTGCCTGGCCTAGCCTTGCCATGACTTGCCTGGCCTGGCCTGGCCTGGCCATGCCTGACATTGCCATGACTTGCCTTGCCTTACCTTGCCTTGCCTTCCCTTGTATTTCCTTGCCTGGCCTTAACTGGCCTTGCATTGCCTATCCTGGACTTGCCTTGCTTTCCCGTTCCTTGCCTAGCCTTGCCTTGACTTGTCTTGACTTACCTTCCCTTGCCTGGCCTTGCCTTGCCTTTTCTTGCCTTGCATTGCCTTGTCTTGTCTTGCCTTGCCTGGCCTAGCCTTGCCATGACTTGCCTGGCCTGGCCTGGCCTGGCCATGCCTGACATTGCTTTGCCTGGCCTTGCCTTACCTTGCCTTGCCTTCCCTTGTATTTCCTTGCCTGGCCTTAACTGGCCTTGCATTGCCTATCCTGGACTTGCCTTGCTTTCCTGTTCCTTTCCTAGCCTTGCCTTGACTTGTCTTGACTTGCCTTGACTTGAATTGCCTTGCTTGGCCTGGCCTGTCATGACCTGGCCTGGCCTTGCCTTCCCAGGCCTTGACTAACCTGGTCTGACCTTGCCTGGCCTGGCCTTCCCTGGCCTTGCCTTGCCTTGCCTTTCATTGCCTTGCCTTGCCTTGCCTTGACTTGCCTTGACTTGAATTGCCTTGCTTGGCCTGGCCTGTCATGACCTGGCCTGGCCTTGCCTTCCCAGGCCTTGACTAACCTGGTCTGACCTTGCCTGGCCTGGCCTTCCCTGGCCTTGCCTTGCCTTGCCTTTCATTGCCTTGCCTTGCCTTGCCTTTTATTGCCTTGTCTTGCCTGGCCTTGACTGGCCTGGCCTGGCCTGGCATAGCCTGGCCTTAGCTGGCCTTGCATTGCCTGTCGTGGACTTGCTACGCCTTGCATTGTCTTGCCTTACCTAGCCTTGCCTTGCTTTGAATTCCCTTGCCTGGCCTGGCCTGTCATGGCCTGGCCTGGCCTTGAATTCCCTGGCCTTGCCTGGCCTTGCCTTCCCTGTCCTTTTCTGGCCTTGCATTGCCATGGTTGGCCTATCCTGGCCTCTCCTGGCCTGGCCTCACCTGGCCTGGCCTGGCCTGGCCTTGACCTGCTTGGCCTTGCCTGGCCTGGCCTTGCCTGGCCATGCTTGGTATAGCATGACCCAGACTGTCATGGCCTGGCCTTGCTTTTCCTTGCCTAGCCCTGGCTTGCATGGCCTAACCTGGCCTGGCCTTGCCCTGGCTGGCCTTGATTGGCCTGACCTTACCTGCCCTTGCCTGGCCTTACCTGTCCTGGCCTTGCCTTACCTGCCCTTCCCTGTCCTGCACTGCTACTACTGTATGGGCCTTGCCTTGCCTTACCTTGCCTTACCTGGCCTTCACCGGGCCTTGCATGGACTGGCCAGTCCTGGACTAGCCTTGCCTTGCTTGGCCTTGCCTTGCCTGGCCTGGTCTGGTCTTGTCTTGCATGGCTTGGCCTGGCCTGGCCTTGCCTTGTCTTGTCTTCTCTTGCCTTGCCTTGCCTGCCCTGGCCTGGTCTTGCCTTCCTTTGCCTTGCCTTGTCTTGCCTTGCCTTGCCTGGCCTTTCCTTGTCTTGACTTACCTGGCCTAACCTGGCCTTGAGTTGCCTGCCCTTGACTGGCCGTGCCTTGCATTGCTTTACCCTGCCTTACCTGGCCTAGCATTGCCTGTCCTGGAGTGGCCTTGCCTTGCCTTGCCTCGGCTGGCATGGCATGGCCTGGCCTGGCCTGTCCGTCCCTGGTTTTGCCTGGCCTGGCCTTGTGTGGCCTGGCCTTTTCTGGCCTGGCCTGGCTTTGCCTTCCCTGTGATTTCCTGGCCTTGCATTGCCTTTATTAGCCTGGCCTGGCCTGGCCTTTCCCTGACCTGCTTGGCCTTACCTGGCCTTTCCTTACCTGGCCTTGCCTGGCCTTGCATGGCCTGTCTAGACCTGGACTAGCCTTGCCTTGCCTAGACTTACCTTGCCTTAACTGGCCTTGCTTTTCCTTGCCTGACCTGGCCTGGCCTTCCCTTCATGGGCCTTGCCTTCCCTTGCCTTGTCTTGCCTTGCCTCTCCTGGCCTGGTCTCACCTGTCTTGCCTGGTCTTGCCTTGCCTTGCCTTGCTGTCCTGGTTTAAACGCAGACAGACAGCTTGTTCACTCACTTCCCCCCAGGGGACTTGAGGATATCACAGAAGCACACAATGGTTTGGACTGGGAGGGACCTTAAAGCTCCTCCAGCTCCAACCCCTGCCACTGGCAGAGACAACTTCCACTGGAGCAGCTTGCTCCAAGCTCCATTCAACCAGGCCTTGAGCACTGCCAGCCATGGGGCAGCCACAGCTTCTCTGGGCACCCTGTGCCACTGCCCCACCACCCTCACAGGGAACAGCTTCTAAGATCTCATCTCAATCTCCCCTCCATGTCACATTAAAGCCATCCCCCTTGTCCCATCCCCACAGGCCCTTGTTCTCCCCACAAGAAATGAGGGCAGATCCCAGGATCATCTCTCAACAGCCGCAGCGCTCCGCTGCCGGCTCAGCCAGCCCAACTCACACACCGAGTCCAAAGCAGCCACTCTGGGGAAGTCTCTTGAGGTGTTCTGGCAACTCCTACAGCACCCCAAGATCGCCATCGCCACCCACCTCGTTCCACGCTCCTCTGTCCACAGGCATCACCGGCTCCGAGACACCAAGACGGGAACCACCAGAGGAGCTGCTCTTGCCTCCTCCACCAGTAGCTTGTGTTCCGTGGGGCAGCTGTCGTCTCCCGGTGCCTCCTCTGAAGGGTTCCATGGGGTTCTGTGACCTCAAACACCTGAACACGGGGAGTTCCAGAATCAGCCACCCCTGTGGTCTCCATGTCCCCAAGGTCATTGTGATGCAGGAGCTCTGACTGGGTCCATGGGGTGCTCTGGAGGTGCTGCAGGCATTCTCTGGGATTCTCTAGGGGTATCCCCAGGATGCCCTGGGAGTGCACAGAGACACAGGGCCGTGGAGCAAGCTGCTCTAGTGGAAGGTTTCCCTGCCACGTTGAGCTGTGACCCCTCGCATGCTCCACCTCTGGACCAAAGGCACTGAGGAAGAGCAGCCCATGAGGGACCTCCCCGAGCCGGCTGGGCAGAGGCTGGTCCCCCCGCAGCGACTCCCGGAGCACCCCTGGGTGCCCTCAGCTTCCAAAACGGGGGGGGGGGGGGGGGGGGGGGGAGGGTCCCCAATGGACACAACCTCCCATCCCCCACCCGGGGGTGTCGGGGGTGGGGACCTCCCCCCCTCTTTATACCCGGGATGGGAGAGGGGAGGATAAAGGGGGGATGGGGGGGGGGGGCGATCCGAAGCCTTGTTGACACCAATGTAAATAGCGGGGGGGGGGAGGGGGGGAAGGGGAGGGAAGGCGGGAGGCGTCACCTTAAGACTGTATAAAAAGGAAAATTAACCAATAAATAAAGATTTCACAGGAAATCGAGGCCTCTTTTCCCCCCTAGCTCCCAAATTTTGGCCTTTCCCCATCCCCGTTCGGTGACGCTCGCCGCACTTCCGGGTTGGTTGCTAGGCAACGGGGTCTCCGCGTACCGCTTCCCCTGCGTTGCCAGGTGACGGCCAGTGAGCTTCCACCGCGCTGCGCGTTGCCAGGCAACCTTGCCCCCGCCCCCCTGCCTCGTTCTGGCGACCGTTGCCCAGGCAACAGCCAATCAGCACTGAGCTCCCCAACTCGTGTCCCCATTTAACCCCGTCCCGGCTGCCCCCCCCATGGCCCTGAATATGGGGCTTTTCCTTGCCCCTGCCCCCCATTTGTCCCCCCTTCTCCTCCCCCCCTTATGCCCCCCATTCCCCCTCCCCTTTTTCCCACCCCCATTCCCCACATTCCTGCCATTTCTCCCCCTCTCCCTCCATCCCTCCCCAGTTCTCATCCCACCATCGTTACCCCCCCCCCTTATTTACATGCAATTAGCGTAGGACCTGCTTTACTCACACACAGTTCATGTAGGGTTGAACTTATTTACATGTTACTAACACAGACCCTTCCTTATTTACATGTTATTAATGAAGGGCCTACTTAATTTGCATCCTTTTAGTGGAGGACCTGCTTTATTTACATGTCATTAACATGGAGCCACTCATATTTGCATGTTCTTACTGTAGGACCTCCTGTTTTTACATGGTGCTGTGCCAGGACCTCCTGTATTTACTCACTTACTAATGTAGGACCTATTTTATGTACAGTTGCTGTCGGATCTGCTCTATTGACAGGGTATTGGGGCAGGACCTACTTCATTTATGGGCCCTTATTGTAGGTCCTACTTTATCGAGGAGGTATTATTGTAGGACCCATTTTTTTGAGGGAGTTATTAATGTAGGGCCTACTTTATTTACATGTTGTATTTACAGTTTCATTCCTGTAGGACCTACTGTATTGGGGGTGGTTGTGATGTCAGGACCCGCTTTACTGAGTAACTTATTTACAAGTTCTTAATGTAGGATCTACTTTTATGTACCTGTCATTAACATAGAGCCTGTCTAATTTACATATTCCTGTACGTCCTACTTTATTCCCAGGCTGTTATTGTAGGTTGTGCTTTATAAGGGAATTTAGTATGTCAGGACCTGCTTTGTTTACACTTTCGTTACTGTAGGACCTGCTTATGTGTTACTGTAGGCCACATGTTATCTGTGCATTGTTATTGGAGGCTCTGCTCTGTTGACATGCTGTTACTGCAGGCGGGACGAGTTTATTAACACAAGACCTGCTTTGCATCTCATTAACATGGGTGCAACCTCATTTACATGTAATTAACAGAGGACCTGCTTTATTTACTGCTCTATTTCTATAGGACCTACTCTATTCCGCTTCCAGGACCGCAGCCTTGTGGCCACACCCCCCTCCAAGCCCTGCCTCCTGCACCCCATCCAATAGGAGCATCTGATGAAACCGAGGCTCAGGGGTGGGGCTTGCTCTGGTCACGCCCTTCCTTGTCGCTGGTGGGCGGCGCTAAGGGGAGGGGGCGGTGCAAGTTTAGGGTACGGGTGGCCTGGGACCAGCGCTTCAGCCAATGGGAGAAGGGGATGTTGCTGGGGGGGGTGGCCGGTATCCACTGAGCCGGCTGCTCCCACCTAAGGGAGACGAAGGAGGGGGGAAGGGGGAATGTGACATCACACATGGTGGGCGTGGCCTCTCACAGACCCACCCTCGCCGTCTCACCATTGGCTGATGACGTCCTGGAGGTGGGGCCAGCCCTCGAGGTACTGCTGGACCCGAATGGACAGCGCCTGCAGCTGGGGGAGGAGCTCGGCGATGGCCACGCCCTCCGCGGGTGCTGCAAAGGGACAGGGTCAGCGCAGGCCACACCCTCACCCCCCAGCTCGTCCCCCTCACTCACCGCGGGGTGGGCGGGGCTTCCCGGGTCCCGCCCCTTGCGCTGACCACGCCCCTTGTGCTGACCTCACCTCCTGCAGCTGTTCCAGCTCCCCCTGCAGCTCTGCCGCCCGCAACAGCGCCCCCTGTGGGGGCTGAGGCACAAACACCCCTGAGCAACGGCCCCATTGCCCCTCCCCCCTCTATGTCCCCTCCTTCCATTGCCCCGCCCCCCTTTATGTCCCCTTCTCGCATTGCCCTTCCCCCTTTATGGCCTTCCCCCTCTTTATGACCCCTGCCCCCTCTATGGCACATCCTTCCAATTCCCCTCCCCGTCTATGGCCCCTCCACCACCTCACTCTCTGCCATTCCTAGGGCAGGTCTGATTGGCTGCAGTGGGTAGTGGGCGGGGCTAAAGGGAGAATGGAGGGGTCAGCACAGCCCTTCCCCCTCCTCCCCACCACCCTCCCCCCCCCAATTCACTCACCTCGGGGGGAGGGGCACTCTCTCCTTTCCCAGCATGCTCAGCGCTACCTGCAGCCGCTGCCCTTCCCCCTGCAGCCCTGGGGGGAGCCGCACAGCTCCTCGGGCCTGAAAGGGGCGTGGCCAAAGCTCTGAGGCCTCGCCCACTCACCATTAAGCCCCGCCCCACTTCCCTCCCCCTCGTTCCTCACCTGGGCCTGCAGGGGGCACAGCTGCGCCCGGAGCTGGATCCAGCGGCAGGACTGGAAGGGGTGGGGAGGGGGGACACAAGGAAATGAGGGACCCCAAAGCCATGGGAGGGACCCAAATACCCCCCAAGACCCCCAAACACCTTAAATATCGCCCCATATTTCTCCCCAAAACCTCTCCCTTCACCCCAAACCAATCCAGAACCCCAGATACCCCTCCCAGCAATGCTGAATCCCCCAAATCCCCTCTAAAGCCCCAAACTCCCCCAGATCATCCCCTATAGACCCAAAATCCCCCTCCAGGACCCCCAGATATCCCTCATCCCTCCCAAAAAGTGGAGCTGGGACCCTTTAGGGACCCCAACCCCTCCCCATAACCATCAAATTCCACTTCCCAGACCCCCCCAAGCCCATCAGGACCCCCCCCAAATCCCCATATTCCCCCGTTGGCACCCACCAGCCGCTGCTTCCCCTCCTGCAGCTGCCTCCTCAGTGGCCCCAGGGCAGCTTCTGGGGAGTCCATGGGGCTGCCCCGTAGCTCCAGGACCTGCTTGATCAGGGCGTCCCGAGCCCCTGAGAGCCCTGCGGCCTCCAGCATCGACCTGGGGGGCAATGAGGCCCCAAAGCCAAACGTTGAGGGGAGTTTGGGAGGCCCAAAGGGGTTCAAGAACCCTTTTTGGGGGGGGGGGACGGGACCATAAAAGGACTGCAGGGACCATGGAGGGATTGGGGGCACCCCAAAAGGTCCCAGCACTGGGTTTAGGGAGAATCTGGGGGGCTTTAAGGACCCCTATGAGCCCAGCACCCGCTTCAGAAGGAAACCCAGTGGGGTTTAAAGTACAGAGAGAGTCCCTAAAGGGTTCTGAGGTTCAGGAGTGGGGAGGAAAAAGTTATGGGGGAGGACCCAGGGGCAGTTTTGGGGTGCAGGGGGGGAAACCGGGCTGCAGGACGCATTCAGGGGGTCCTTGAGAGGGTTTTGGGTGCATGAGGGACTCCATAGGGAGGTTTTGGGGTGCAGGGGGGTTGTTTTGCGGTGCCGTGTGGGTTCTGGGGTGCATGGGGGTGGTTTTAGGGTGCAGGGGGTGTGTTCTGAGGTGCAGGGGATAAGGTTTTGGGGTGCAGGGGAGGTGGTTTGAAATGTAGTGGATTGTTTTGGGGTGCAGGGGGGATGGTTTTGGGGTGCAGAGGGGGTGTTTTCAGATGCAGGGGGTGTGCTTTGGGGTGCAGGGGGAATGGTTTTGGAGTGCAAGTGGGTGTTTTGGGGTGCAGAGGGGTGGTTTTGGGGTTCAGGGAGGTATTTTGGGGTGCAGGGTTTTACCTGGCAGCCTGCTGGGCTTTGGGGTCCCCCTCCAGGCGCTGCGGGATCTCCACCGGCAGCTGGAGGAGCCGGAGCTTCAACGGGGACAGGCGGGAAGCCAAGGAGTGGAGAGTCCCAGAGTCCCCCCACATCCACCCAGCAGTCCTGGGAGGTGCAAAGGGGGGATCCCACATCAATGGGGAGCTCCGAGCCCTAAAGCACCCCCAAATGTGCCCCTCAAGTCTCCCCATTTACCTGGATGAGGGTCTTCATAGGGGGCTGAGCATCAGGGTCAGGGTTGGGGTCAAGGTCAGGGCTGATTTTGGGATACCCCTTCCTGCAATGGAACAACGGGGAATGGAGGGAGGACGCAACCCCGCCCCTCTGTTGGCTCCACCCACCGGTAGCCCCGCCCCTTCCCTAGTGCCCTGGGGCCACACCCTCAGAACCTTATAAGGGAAGTCCTGCCCCCTTTAAGCCGCACCCCCAGCAGCCCACTGGCTCTGCCCCTTCTCTAAGCTCCACCCCCTCCCAAAGCCCCATTTCTTAAGTCCCTCCCTTCTCCTAAGCTCCTCCCCCTAAGCCCCACCCCTCATAAGCTCCTCCAGGGCCTCCTCCCGCAGCTTGCACACGGCCTGGGGGGGAGGGCAAGCGGGGCAATGGGGGCGTGGCCAAGCTCAGACCCCTCCCCCGTCCATAAGCCCCTCCTCCTTCCCAATAAGCCCCGCCCCTTCTTACCGCCAATTTCGACGTTAGTCCCACCTTTGGCCCCGGCTCCCTGCAAGCGCAGAGCATCATGGGAATGCTGCCCCCCGCCCCCATTGGGATACCCATGGGGAAGCCCCGCCCACTCCTCGCTTACGAGTGGGCGGAGCTTATCTGGGCCCGCTTCCTCCGCAGCCACAGCCCCTCCTGCGCCGACTCCGCCCCCAGGGCGCGAAGCTCCGCCCCTCGGCGACGCTCCGCCCCCAGTGCCTCTTCTACAAGGAAACTAAGGGGGCAGAGCCTCAGGTCAGGTGACCGGTAGCCCCGCCCCTTTACCCCCCATCCCACCCCCCAGTCAACTCACCCAGCTCCAGCACCGCTGCCCCGGCCTCGCCCACGGCCCCGCCCATCACTTTAAGCTCCGCCCTTACCTGCTCCAAGGCCTCATGCACTTCCATATAAGGCGTGCTTGACCCCGCCCCTCGCTGGGGAGAGACACCAAAGGTCACCTGAGGACACCACCCCCCCTATCCTTAAGTCCCATTTTTCTCCCTCCACCACCCCTGAAATTTGCACCCCGCCCAAATCTTGCCCCCCCCCGTCCCTCTGGGACCCCCCAAAACCCCATACAGCCCCCCAAAAACCCTCCCCCCCCCAAACCTGAATCTCCTCGAGGTGCTGGTACCTGAGCCCCGAGTTAAGGAGGAAACGGGGGTTAAAGGAGGAGTTGGGGGGGGTCGGTGGGGGTGTCATGGGAGGGAATTGGGGGTTCCTGGGGATCCCAATGGGATTTAGAGTTGTCCTAAAGGAATTTGGGGCTCCTGTGCATGGATTTGGGAGGAGAAAAGAGGTTGGGGGGGGTCACAGGGGGAATTGGGGGGTGCTGGGGTGGGTCTTGGGATCCCAATGCAATTTTGGAGGGATTTTGGAGGCTCTCCAAGGAGCTTGGGGGTCCCCAGAGGGGGCAGCTTTGGGTCCCCACCCCTTTTTTGGGTGCAGTGGATACCACAGCAGGTTCCCTTTGATCTTCTTCACATTCCTATAGGAACACACCCCCCCCCCCATGTATTTTAGTGACCGATCCGAGGTTTGGGGTCCCTCCAGATGTTGCGGTTCCTCCCCCCCAGATGTTGGGGTGCCCCCCTCACCGCGGGTGCCGCACGTGGCCCATGATGTACTCCCGGATGGGGGCACAGGGCCCCGTGCACAGCCTGGAGGTGGGGGGGAGACAAAGAGAGGGGGTCAGGAGCACCCCAACCCCCCCAGGACCCCAAAAGCCCCCACTGGGGGGTCCCGCGGGCTCCAACCTGCGCAGGTCGGGATCGGAGGGGAGCTCCAGCTCCGCCATGATGGGCGAAATTGAAACGCTGGGAGCGCCGCGCGGCACGACGGGAGTTGTAGTCCAAGCCGGGCAGTGCCTTAGTGGTGCTGCAGGGGTGTCGCACTGCATCATGGGAGTTGTAGTCCAGGCTGGGCGACGCCCTCGTGGTGCTCTATGCTTGCCGCGCGGCATGATGGGAGTCGTAGTACCGCCTGGCGGCTGTATAATGGTGTTCTATGGGAGCCGCGGGGTATGATGGGAGTTGTAGTCATAACTGGGCGCCGCCATAACAGGGCTCAATGGGTGCCGCGCTGCATGATGGGAGTAGTAGTCCCGGCTGGGCGCCACCGTAAAGGGGCTCTATGGGTGCCGCGTTGCATGATCAGGGTTGTAGTGCCTGTAGTCTATGGGTCTCTATGGGGTCTCTATGGGGTCTCTATGGGGCGTCTCTATGGTTCACTTTGGGTCGCTTTCAGGATCTCTGCGGTGTCTATGGATCTCTATGGGTCTCTATGAGTCTCTGTGGGGTCTCTATGAGTCTCTGTGGGCTGTGGATCTATATGGTCTCTATGGGTCTCTCTGTTTGGCCTCTATGGGTCTCCCTATGGGGTCTCTATGGGTTCCTGCAGGGTCTGACTGATACAGAGGGTTGACCATTGTACAAGGGAGTTATACAGGGGGGTTGTACAAGGGGGTTAGAGGAATTTGTTTAAACAAAAGGACTATCTATTGTAAATGCCTGCTAAGCAGAACAGAGACCTCCGGTCCTGTTAATAAGCAGACGCCTGAATCTACTGATAAAGGGGAGAAGCAGAGGATTTACGGCTGGGACACTGATCAAACTCTACTGATAAAGGGGAGAAGTAGAGGATTTACGGCTGGGACACTGACCAAACTCTAAGGCCACACATAAGACTAAAAAGGTGAAAAGTGCAAGAAGAGGAAGACTCATTTACTTCATCTTGAAGACCCCTGCCCATGACCAGAGGGGGCACTGCACAGGCGCAGAGGACCTTCTGGCTCATTATAATACGAAGCAGGGATAGGACATGAATATGTATAGGCGTATTGTGCAACCTTATGAATATATATAACTTTAGAGAATAAATGTAGAGGGAAACAACACTGAGGTACGCATGACTTTGAGGAATTATCCCCGTGCGTCTCAGCGCTGAATAAAAAGCATACCTACTTTACAACTTTTAATGAGTTGTGGAGTCAATCCGCGCATCATGACCATGGAGGGGGTGTCTCTTTACGAGTCCCTTGGACGGGGAAGCAGCAGCAGCTCCAGTACCAGGATGCAGGGGGCAGAGCTCGAGACCCCGAGACCCCCCTTTTACCCCCATTGCCCCCCGTTACCCCAAATTGCTCCTATTGCCCCATTACCGCCATTGCCCCCATATAAAGCCATGGAGCCAGCAGTGGGTGTGAACCTGTCCCTGCCCCATAGGGTTCTATAGGGGTCCATAGGGGTCCCATCGCCCCCCATCTCCCTCCTTTCCCCCCCCAGCCAACGCGCGCTCTGTTCCTGTCACCCTGCCCACTTCCACGGCAGCCAATCAGCCCCTGGCCCCGCGCACTGCGCCACGGAGCCAATCAGAGCACAGGGTGGGAGAGTAACCCCTCTGCTCCCCTCAGCTGACTCCGCCCCCTGTAACGGCCACAGGCTGTTGAACAAGACCGGTCCCAACCCCGATCCCTGAGGGACCCCACTCGTTACCGGTCTCCAGCCGGACACTGAGCCATTGACCACAACTCTTTGTGTGCGGCCATCCAGCCAGTTCTTTATCCACCCAGTGGTCCATCCATCAAATTGATGTCTCTCCAATTTAGAGACAAGGATGTCGTGTGGGACGATGTCGAACACTTTGCACAAGTCCAGGTAGATGCCATCAACTGCTCTGCCCCTGTCCATCAGTTCTGTAGCCCCATCATAGAAGGCCACCACATTGGTCAGGCAGGATTTCCCCTCAGTGAAGCCATGCTGGCTGTCACCAAGCACCTTGTTGATTTTCATGTGCCTTAGCATGCCTTCCAGGAGAATGCTCCAAGCTTTTGCCAGGCACAGAGGTGAGACTGACTGCTCTGTCATTCCCCAGGTCATCCATTTTCCCCTTCTTGAAAATGGGGGTTATAGTTCCCTTTTTCCAGTCGTCAGGAACTTCACCTGACTTCCATGTTTTTTCAAATATGAAGACCAGTGGCTTAGCAACTTCATTCGCCCGCTCCTTCAGGACTCATGCATGGATTTCATTAGGCCCCATGGACTTGTGCACGTTCAGGTTTTTAAGATGGTCTCGAGCCAGCTCCTCTCCTACAGTGGGCCCAAGGTCTTCATTCTCACAGTCCCTGCATCTGCCTTCCAAGACTTGGGTGGTGTGGTCAGAGCCTTTGGCAGTGAAGAGCGAGGCAAAGAAGTCATTCAGAACCTCAGCCTTCTCCAAATCCCGTGTAGCCAGTTCTCCCGAGAGCTTCTGGAAGGGGGCTATGTTGTCCCTAGTCTGTTTTTTATTTGCTACATACCTGAAGAATCCCTTCCTGTTATCCTTAACATCCCGAGCCTATCTGAATTCTAACTGGGTCTCAGCTTTCCTAACCTGGTCCCTAGCTTCCCGGAGAAATTCTTCCTCAGCTCCATCTAAACCTGCCCTGGTGCAGCTTGAGGCCATTTCCTCTTGTCCCATCCCTTGTTCCTTGGGAGCAGAGCCCAGCCCCTCCTGGCTCCATCCTCCTCTCAGGCAGTTGTAGGCAGTGATCAGGTCCCCCCCAGGTTCCTCAGCCCTTCCCCATCACATTTGTGCTCCAGGCCCTGCACCAGCTCCATTGCCCTTCTCTGGCCCCTCTCCAGCACCTCAATGTCTCTCTTGTAGTGAGGGGCCCAGAGGTGAACCCAGGATTCGAGGTGCGCCCTCAGCAGTGCTCAGTGCAGGGGCACCACCACTGCCCTGGCCCTGCTGCCGCACTGGTGCTGATCCAGGCCAGGATGCTGGTGGCTTCCTGGCTGCCTGGGCACAAGCTGCTCATGTTCAGCTCCATCACTCAGCACCCCCAGATCTTTTCCCATGAGCAGTTTTCAGCCCCTCTTCCCCAAACCTGGAGCGTTGCAGGGGGTTGTTATGGCCCAAGCGCAGGACCCGGCACTTTGCCTTCTTGACCCTCAACACATTGGCCACAGCCCATGGATCCAGCCTGTCCAGATCCCTCTGCAGAGCTTCCTACCCTCCATCCCCCACCACACCTCCCTGGTCTTTTGGTGGGACATCCCAAATTAGGCAACCCCCACTCTGGGGCTGGCGCCCCCAACTCCCTGATACCAGGGACGGGGGAGCTGGGGTGCCCCATGGGGTGTGGTTTGGGGGCAACGAGGAGCAATTTGGGGCTGGGTGGCATTGGAAGGGGGGAGCAGCTTTTCTGGGGTACCCCAGTTGGGGGCGGGTGTTTGGTGGGGCTCCTCCAGGTTTTTGGGTCCCTGGGTTCATCTGGGGGGGGCCAGGGGGATGGAAGGGTGTGGGTGACTTTGTGCTGCCCCAGGCCCCCACTTGGGGGTCCTGCCTGCTTTTGTGCTGCTTCAGGGAAATTTGGGGTTACCCTAGGATTTAGGGGCAGCACGATTGCTTTGGGTGCCTCCAGGGCCCTTTGGGGTGCAGTGTGGTTTTGGTTTGCCCCTTTATTGGGGTGACCCTTTTGGGGATCCACCCCCTTAGACCCACCTAATTCACTACTGAACCGAAAGCAATGTTGGGGTCCCCCCAGTGTGTTCGGGGTTCCAGAGCATCTTGATGGATCCCCAGGGCAGGTGTTGGGGGAACACCACTTTTCGGAACACCCCTTTTTTAGCAAGTCTGTGCCACTGTGCTGAGCCGGGGCGGCTTTGGAGCTGTGGGCTTTGGGTTTGGGGGGATCTGGGGGGATGCAGGGAGGATTTGGGGATTCAGGCTGGTCCACAAAACTCTTTGGGGTGGCTCATTTATTTGGGGGACTCCCTGTCTACCGAGACTGGGGTGTCCATCAATCCCAGGGCAGCCGAATCACATTGGATGCCCTAGGGAGCCCCGTTGACAGAAGCGGGAGGAATTTGGGTGTTCAGAGGGATTTGAGGGTTCAAGGAACATTTTGAGGTTCAGGGGGGGATCCCCAAAATGTTCTGTAGGGGGCACATTATATTGGGAGATCTCCCATGTACCTGGGTCCCAGGGCCCCCTCAGTCGCTTTTGAGTGAGCAACATTCCCCCAGCATGGAGATGTGTTGAGGGGAAGAGTTTGGGGGTTCAGATGGGATTTTGGCATTGGGGGAGATCCCCAAAGCTCCCCGGGGTGGTGCAGGGATTTGGGGAACAGCCAGTGTCCCAAAGCTAGGGGTTACATTTGACCCAGAGTACCCTGAGTCTTTAGTACCCCTGTTGGCCCATGGCAGTAAATGGAAGGGATTTGGGGTTCGGAAGGGAACTGGAGGTTTAGGGGGATTTGGAGGTTCATGGGAATGCACCCAAGCTCTGCAGGGGACAAATGGAGGCCTCAAACAGGGGCTACAGCCACCAGAGACCACCCCACAGATCACTGCGGCTTTGGGATAGCGGCAGCATTGTGCCCATGGCCACTGGGCACCCAGGGGTGCTCCGGAAGTGGCTGCGGGGGGACCAGCCTCTCCCCAGCTGGCTCGGGGAGGTCCCTCACGGGCTGCTCTTCCTCAGTGCCTTTGGTCCGGAGGTGGAGCATGCGAGGGGTCACAGCTCAACGTGGGCCATGGAACAGGGCGTCACGGCCACCTACGAGGAGTGGAGAGGGACCGACATTGGCACAGCAGAGAATCATGGAATCCCAGAGTGGGCTGGGCTGGGCTGGAAGGGACCTTAAAGCTCACCCAG